ACATAATTGTGAATATTATAGGCCTATTCCATTTCTGCTAATGCAAACCCTTGAATCCTACACACAGGACTTTTGACATTATATAGCAATGATTTAAAGACTCACAGACATTTTTGTGTTGCTGCTATTATATAAAATGAATGTCAAGTCTCATATTATACGCTGTATTTTCTTCATTTTTTATTGATACATTGTATTCTATGGCAATAATTTGCAATGGTTTTTCCAGAAACATAAAGGACATACAGTACTGTGGCTGTTTTGTAGCTAAACATAGACAGTAAAGTATCACTGGTCAGCTGATGGTGATCAATGTGATACAAAGTCTACCAGCTCCATTTTCCACGAGCTTGAAATTTAATAAACCTCTATTAAACCGATTTCTTGAGTTATCAACAGATGGTAAGGTCAGCTGACAGTCTCCTTGTGGTCTGAAGGTAACACCCCTGTGCATTAGTGCCTCAGCTTATCTTCTACTACATTTGTAATCTTGAAGCATTCTGGAGTGGATTTTTGATGAAGTGGTTTGTTTCCAGAAGTTATCTATATGGCCTCTGAGAGACTATCAGTGACAGACTCCCATTGTTTTGCAAGTCGGCACGATGCCAGGAGGTATTGCTTGTCTGAGTCAGCAACAGCAACACTGAGGAGTGGAACGTAGCAAATGGTCACTTATCCTGCTGCTTCAGTACATATGACATGATTTAAAGCAGTGATGCTGAAGGATTAAGAAATATATAGAATGGCATTTCTGTTTTAACTGTGAGAAATGGGAGGTGACAGGGATGACAAGACAAAGACTGGGAGGTTAAACAGCAAAGAGCCATGTGGAAAAATAGGCAACATTAGACGTGCATTAATCAAAAGCAGCTCGGATGATGTCATTGACTTAATTTGTTCTATTACAATAGAAGTCTGGATCCATCAGCACTGGTGTCTCCTTTCAGATACCAACGAGGGTTCCTTCACATTTCCAGTGTGTAGGGTCGATAAATGGATCCTTGTAGAACATTTCTTGATCTGGAAATCGCCTTAGGGGTTTACTGAGGAACAATGAAGTGGAATTATGAAAGAGGCATGTAAGAAGGTATACTATATAAATTAAAGGGCATACTTATAGCAATATAGTATTACAGAGCTTCTTAGTGTAGCAGGAGGATTTTGCACTTCCACAATAAGGCACAAGAGGTCAGAGCTTCACTACAAATACTCTGAAATACCTTGGCGTCTTGTCCTGAGAGTGTGTGCCAGACAAGCTGTATTCATCATTATCATTAAGGGCAATGCCTGAAAGATGTCTATTGAAATAAGTTTGCTTAAAACATCATTACAAATCCAATTAATAGTGTCATTAAACCAGATAGAAAGGAATGACAACATTGTGTGATTTGAAATTCTTTTAAATAATAGAAAGACTAGCGCTGCGTAGCAGGTAGAAATCTTATCAGTGATGTTTAAATGTAGATGTTATTTTGGTAGGAAACGTTATAACCTCTCGTGACTGGCATGAGCTGCACTGTTACGTTATAGTTACTGTTATTAAAAATTACAGTTGCTGGGGGCTTTAGCAAAATTTTGTTTGTTACAATTTAAAATCGGATACAAATATTGCATTTTACATTTAAGTTTAAGCAGATTTTTTCTCCCACAGCCCATGTCATGCACTGTATGTATATACATATAAATATTAGTAACCTATTCTATTTCTACAAACAATCAATTTCTTGCACATAAAGATAACAAACCATCAGTCTTGCCATGACAGGATGAACTGTGCCAAACTAACTGGCTGCATGGAATTTACCAGCTGATCAGGAAAATCTTATTTGTAAAAGACTCCTGTTACTGTTTCTTTTAGTATAGTTCAAGTTAATGATGAAAGTGGATTCAAGGTAAAGAATTGTAGCAAGTAGACTGAGGTATTTTGTTAAAATATGTAGCATCCATAAAATGTAAAGGTTAAATAAAACAGACATTGAACCTATTGTGTGAAAGTACTTCTGCATATGTCAGGTGGATAGTTACGTAGGAAGACAAAGCAGATGTGAAATCTAGTCGGGTAAAATCATACAAATGCAGTTTCTGTGTCGTGAAACGTTACCAGATTTAAAACCCAAGCTAGAAAACATCATGCACACACATCAGAGCAAAACGCTGATTTCTTAAATTGGCAAAGAGAGCTGCTCACTCTGAAGCGCGTAAGCTAATTCTCTTCATTAGCCAAACCACCTCAAAGGTCAGCTGAACAAATCCAGTTCATTTCATTTGAAAACAAATGAGCTTACAATGCCATGTTGTAACAAATCATACGCATGACAAAATTCTGTGTACTAACACTTTAAAACAGTCAATTCATATTTTTACCTTTGTTTCCAAGCTTTCTGTCATACAATTAATGATGGGGATCATGGCAAATAATACACTACCATATACAACGTTATAAAATGTCAATACTGTACATTTAGCTTCTCCGTCAGCTGATCTATCAACATTTTAAAACGCAATTTCAAGGAAATGATTCTGGTCCACTAGTAGATTGAATGCCACATGCCCAAACCCCAAAGGAGTGCATGAATATCCCATTAAAGCTAATCTGTTGTCTCGCTTTGCCGTTAGAAAAAGTCCTCCACCTGACACACCGATCCCATTTTCTCCTCCACCGTTGACGACATTGACACTGAGAGGATTACAAGAAAAATCAATAAACATCGGCAACTTCATGAATGAGCACAAGTCTCTGTGAGCTGATACCCTCACACCAGGTTAGGTCTATTTACCTGCGATACCAATCCACAGTGGGATTCTCTGTAGTTAAGATGATAAGATGTCAGATCATGTCACCATGCTTAACAATGAGAAGACAACTCACTGCTATACAGCACATATCCACATGGTGTTGGTCCATCATGACGTGAACACCAGCTCCGTGTTGAAGCAGAGGGAATATATGGAACTACCCAGACACCAATGTCAATGTTAAATAACACCAAAGACCCTCTGTTATCCTCTTCATCCTTTCTCTTTCTGTCTTCGATACGCTCAGTATCTCCACATGTATCTTAGTTAGGAGACATAGAGTGCTCATAGACTATAAATAAATGTCTTCAGCTAGATATTCTCCACTTCCTGCAACTTTAGCAACTTCATATTTCCATTTGCAGTTGGAAAGTAGATCTGTAACTTTCAGCAAATGGCATGGGACAAGAAGAGGCAAGACTGCCGACCAGACAGACGAGCGTTCCACTCTCCAGCTCTTAACAAGCATAGTAATACATCAGTCAAAAGCAATAATTTTACCATTAATGAAATTCCAATTTGCCTTCAGTGCATTTCACGTTGACATTTTCCACATTGCAACAGTGCTTTGATAAAGTTTTTAAAATGCAAAAACGCATCTAAGAGGCTAAAGACCAGCCCGGGTGTCAGCGTGCCTGGCAGAGGACTATGGTACTTAATTTTTATCGCCATGCGCCCGGGGCATTGGAAGCCTGAATGTTAACATTGGCTCCATTTTCATTATCATCGTATGATTATGGATTTTACTGCATTTAGCTGATAATACAACTAGGAGCTCACCTTAAAAGAAGTTGCTCGAAGGTTTCATTTCTGCCCAAATGAAATTTTCATTTGACAAACAAGTATAATTAGGCTGCACTTCTTGTTCAGTGTCAGTCTGTTTTCTGATTGAACTTAGACCAATTTACTGCCACTAAATGAGTTTGAATAATTTCCATTCTGAATGTCTTGGGGACATTAGCTTTAGGAGTGCTAAGTGGCAGCTTTCTTTTTGAAGTTGCTGATTATTTGATGCCACCCCTGTCTACCTATACATTTTTCAGCTTACTTCAAAGTTAACAAGGGAAAAAAAAATGCACATCACCTACCTTGGAGAACAATGAGAATTTGAAAGTGTTTTTTTGGCCAGGTCTGGGAGGCAAAGTGAAAATTACTTTAATAAGTGTGTAATAAACTTCGTTAGCTTCAATGCTCTTTGCTTCCCCACTTTATTTCTTTCATGTGGCCACCTTTATTGTACTGAATGAGGATTTGTTTCTCTTGAAACTTTACACCTAATAACTAATATTGCAGTATCAGTTTCATTAAACCACTAATTACAAATTAATACATTATGGATTATGAGAACTGCTGCAGCTGCCTCTCTGTTATTAAAAGTAATATAACAGTCATTTTTATTATCTATCAGGGAACAAGCAGAGGAGCTGGGCACTGACTTGTAGGGAGTTATAGCATAGCCTTTATCCACATGAAGTGTTTATTTTCCATAACACAATAACTATAAATATATTAGCAAATAAAATTGTTGCAGATTACCTACTATTAATAGCACTGTAAGCCTCTGCAGCCACAAGCTGAGCCACAGCAGACCACTGTGAATGGCAGAGGAAAGTGGGGTTATTTGTATATTCCCCCCTAATGGATTTGGTAGATAACCTAAAATCTGAGTAACAGCTATTTCAGTAGGGGTAATCCAGTCATCCTAAAAAAATAAAATGAAAAAAATAAAAAAATAAACACCAATGTGGAGCGAAACAGAACGAGAGAAATGGAGTGAATAAAATTGGTGAGGGCAGAAGAAAGAGAGGATCACAAATAAAGCTCATGTGGGATTGATGAGAGGAAATGGGGATTTTGACAATGTGATTAAGTAATGGTCTGAAAATATGGAAGCAATGGCAAAAAAGAGAATAATTTACTCAAATGTAAGAGAACTGCATGTCAATGAAGGGCGGAATTACATTTCATTATCATAAATAAGGAAAACCAAACTGTGGCTTAGTTATGAGGAGTTTAGAAGCTGGTGAGCAAAAGACTCAACCTCAGATCCTCCAACACTGCTCTGAACGTTTCCTCTAGATTCTCTTTTCTTGGTTACATGTGAGGATTTTGGTTATTAACACTAAATTGTTTCACAATAACAAACATTTTAAATCATTTTTGGGTTACTGGAATATGTAGTCGTATTGGAATTTTAAAACAAAACATAATCCAAAGATAAAACATAAATTTCCAATGTTCTGTGCACAAAAACACAAGCTCAAGCCCTGTCCCGTTTCCCAAAGTGTCACTAAATAACAAAGCTACACACAGAGCAACGGTGGTCTGCAGTGCAGAGGTCTATTGAACTAACGTGACAAAGGACCCACTACAAAGTGGAGATAATGCTGTGGGATCGACTCAAAAGACAGAATTACTGTTGGTCCAAAAGGATTGCTGCACATCTGCAATTCATTTGCATTATGCTCATTTTTCCAAGGACTGAAATGACTCCAAACTTGTACAACAATCTGACTCACAAATAGATGTACTGCGGCTTTGTCAGTCCTCAAGTGAATTGTTCAATGAATACCTGAGGGTAAAATATCTTAAATGCAATGTCAACAAGTTATATTTTATCTTGCTTGAACTTTGAATAACATCAGAGTTGTTTTTCTTATGTTGAGTTTAAACACAGTTTCAAACTGAAAGACACTTGAAATCTGCTTGCACAATTACTTTGAAAGGAATTTCTTACTTCTGCTCTAACAATGACTCACTGTGACGAGTCATTGTGTTAAACTGTATAAGACTAGTACTTGTGGGTATTTGGTTTCTGTCAAATTTCTTAATTTTCATTTAAATCTTAATAACATATATCTTACTGAGTCATTGATAATGTAAAAGCACTAATAAATGTGTTAGGTAAGAATGTGCCATAAAACAGTGACATATAATTAAAGGGACATTTCTTTGCTGTTAATGAGGCGACAAACTGGTATTCAGGTATAAATTTTACAATATCGTTGCTCTGTTTTTTTATGGTCCATTCATTAGCTTAATTCCTACAAACTGAGACAGGATGGGATGATTATTATAAATTCTAAGTCAAAAGCTGTGGAAAACACCTGACAGCACAGATTATTAAATGACATGGTGAAATTTCATGCATGATTCTCTGTCTCCTATAGTACTTTGTCAGAAAATGTTGACTTTTGCTGCTTTTACATCTGCCATAATAATTACCAAGAGCCTCAGTGCATTGTGGAGACAGGCAGATTGCTGCCGTGTGTTCGCTTCCTGGTTTTGAGATGATGATGTGTGCCACAAGAATAAAAACAGTAAAATATACTTGGGTGCCATCTTTGACAAATCACAGCAGTGAATTATACATTCAGTAATTATTTAAACTCTTTAAATAATAACAGATGCCCCATTCGCCAAGTGGGAGATCATCATTCTAATGCTTCCACTACATTGTACTGTATAAATAATGTGTGCATTTGATAATCTACTTGTTACTCAACCATCATCAAACAGATGCTCTGGTTTAACTCTTACGAGGTCATGTTATTTAAAGGGCACCTATTATGCTCATTTACAGCTCTGTACTTTTATTTTGGGACTGCACTGAAAAAGCATTACAGTTAAAAAAGGAATTATTTACCTCAAACTGCCTGTGATGCAGTCACTCAGTAGAGTATCTCACTGAAACAGGCAAAATTATATCAGGCCTCCTGAAAAGCCCACTTTCTTCTGACTGGACTAACATCTGACAGTCTATCGAAGGGCATCACACCCAACGCTTGTGAGCTTGGCGTCCTCCTCCTCCTCTTACCAGTGTGGTTCTTACAGCAAACTCTAAAACAAAAAAATTATATGATAACTGATTGGAAATGACATCTTCTCAAATGTAAATTCCAGCCTGATTCTAATATGGGAGCATGAGAGTGAACAGCACAAACCTCCACAGAATCAGAGATCATTTGGTAAATATTAGATCTATTACCAGTTTACTGTGTGACATAAAGGTGGATTTAGTCTTTCAATCCCAATCCTTATATAAACATGTTTCTATTAATAGTAAAATACATGTAGAATACACATGGGAAATTGGCTCAACATATAAAAGCTAACACTGCTAGTAAAATGTCATTTTGCTTTTGCCAAACAACTGTATGCCAAACGTGCACCATCAGTTATTTGCGTTCTGGAATAAAAAGCACTGTATAATTCTACTCAAGTATTCATATACTGACATAAAGATGACTTGACAAGGACTGTTGGGCACGTGTCTGGCAATTAAATTAAGAGTATAAAGACTACATAACACATCATCTCACCTTTACTTGCTGACTGTAGTGCAAACAAAAAGTTTTAGAAGTAATTAGAACAAGTCTAAAATGGTTTGTCATCTCCCCTGGTAAGGATTTCCGAAGATTAAATCTCTCTTAACCCCGTCCACAAACAGCGATAAAGCCAAAATCTGATTTCAGTATCTCCAGCCCACAGTTTCCATCCCCATCCATAAGAAAGCTGCTTAGCCCTGGCAGCTAGCACATATGTGAATTGATCCAGTGGTAACAGAGAGTGCAAGAAATCTCTGAACTAAGCTGTTCAGAGCCCAATGATTAAATGGAAACAAACAATGCAAATCATTTACTGAGCGCCTCAGGATCCAATAGTTTAAGTGGCCGTCTTATCATTATAAGCAGAATTGGTGACGTTGATCACATGCTGCTGCTGGTGGGAGTTTACCCAGCTTCAATAACCACCAACACTCTTCCTCTATTCAGATCTATGGCTAAATCCCAGGTGAGTGACAGGTGCCAGCTACAGGGCTGTTAGGAGAGAGCGTTTGTTGATATAACCATGTTTTCCTCTCTTTGAGCGACTGATCTGCAAAGGTACACATAAAGGCCCTCCTTCAACAATGTACACAGAGAGCACTTCGAAAGGAGTACATAAAAATGCATCTCCCCTCTCCCTGCAACATTAAACAGCGTGTGAGGGTTGGGGGTGGCGGGGGGGCTGCGGTGGGAGGCATGCAGGGACTGAGGAGGTGGGGGGGTTGGCTGAGGGACTCAAACAAACGCTGGAGAGTGGCAAGTTTGCATTTGCCCATACCAACAAGCTCCTATCTCATTAACAAACCGCTGAAATAAAAGAGTGCTTTTTTGGCTCACAGCTATAAAAAAAATTATCATAGTGATGATGTTCCTCAGCCGTCAACAGAGCTGTGATAACGTTGTTTGATGATGACTTTCCCATGAATGTTAAGCAGCCGCCGCGGCAGAGGAAAGGAGCTTATCAGCGCCTAATGCCCATCTCTAATTCCTGCCCTTCTTGAACTAGCCATTTTCTAACAGCGTTAACTGTCAAATTTACATCCCGTCTTAATGCCACTAAAGAGTACGGGGGATGAAGAGTAAATGACAGCAGTGTAATGAGGAAGGCAAGGCATTCCTTCTCCTACTTTCTCTCCCCCTCTCTTTCTCTAAGGAGAAGGAGATTTCCACTATATGGGGGCTTTTTTTCCTCCTCCGGTGCCATGATGCCGTGATGGAGAGCTTACCTGTGAACCTACTGTGATGAAGGTGCACATGAGCTTAATTAGCACCAGGTTCTTTTGTGAAGTAGGTAAAATAGATTTTTTTTTCATTAAGCACAGCAAATAAATATACAGCATAAAAAAAATCCAACAATGAAGCACACAGGGAGACATTTAAATATGAGCATTGTGATCTATCTACAGGCAACAAGCATTTGCTGCAGAAAATGATGGCAAAGGGATCAACCGGAGCTACAGACATAGCCATCATATTATTATAATAAATAGAGGTCAGGGCAGGGCATTTAAAGTATGTAGCATGGTGAGCAATCACTATACATGTTTATGCTTCTGCATGTTTTTGTTTAACTTAGTAAAATTGGGTGGCTTTCCATGATTTTTGCGTATTCTTTTTTATCATGAAAAGATAAAACTGTATAAAACACTGTAATCTGTTCACAAAGCACAATGTCATCTAGCATACCTCTTTCACATGTATTATTAGTCACTGTAGTCTTGTGCTCATAATTAAAATGATGATTTGGTGCAACAAAACATTTGTCATCTGGGACCTAACCATTTAAATCTCCTGCTTTTAAATTGGCACAATGTGCATTATATCAATTCAAAATGAACTACTGCAGGAGACAATCACTTCTGGAATTCAAATAAAAGAAAGTGAAAATCATATGTGTATATACAACAATATTAATAATAATTGCAATATAGTCAATAATTCATATTGTAACAATATAAGAAAGATTCAACATAATGAAACATACAGAAAGGAGGTATAACATATAAATGATCTACCTCAGAATTGTAAAATGTTTAGATGTCTGTCAAGTGTTTGTCACTTAACAAATGATGTGAACACCCCCCCCCCCACACACACACACAAACACACACAGTATGTATATATATATATATATACATAATACTTTGCAGAAAAAGCCTTTGTATTCATGCAGACTCCTGCTCCTTTTATGCAAATGAAACAAGTTGAAAGTTTCTGCATGTAATTTAAGATGGCATTTAAGCCTCCTACCCTAGATACTATCATCATCATAATTAATTCATCAGGTAATATTTCCCATTATTTGAAGGCATTTTATGTCATGCTAGGTAATGAATAGCTACGAGGGCATAAGCGCTAGTTAGCTAAAAAAATACAACAGTATTCAGTGTTAATTATAATTTGTAGTAATAAAAGTAGACTGCTGAACATTACAGAAAGGGAATATTTCAAATTAATCCACCTGATGGATAAAATATGGAATCAGTCGTGTTAAAGCATATTTGATTTCTTAATAGTGTCACTTGGCCTGGTGAAAGATGAGCACCACATCGTTTGTGGATATCTAGATTTTGACTCAATCATTGGTGGGGGTTTCATATTCAATCTTCCTTTTCTTAGAGAGAAATTAGAATGAAGATAAACAGAAGAAAGGTTTTACCTTCCATCTATGCTGGTATAATCAAGCATGCAAGAGAACCTATGAATATGTAGTCCATTTCATCTGAGGGGTCGGACTCTGGTAGGGCAGGCCAGCCAAGATTAAATCTCAGCTCATCTGATTGGACCACATAAAGATTCAAACTGAGCTAATTTCATGCCGATCTGGTTGCCTCCAGTGAAACTATCCAAAAGGCAAGAGGCTGTAATGATTTGGAAAGGAAGGAGACAACAGATAAATGGTGAAATGAAGTTGAAGGGCCTTCTTACCTTTGAGAAGAAATATTTCAATTTAAATGTATTACTTTATCAGGATAAGGTCCTCGAGCTCCGGAGCTCTGAGATTACACCAATTAAACATCAAATATGATGAACTAACTGCAAATGAACAAATGCTGTGTGTGCCCCTGTTTAAAGGCTGGTATTCTACTATTGTTCAGAGATACCAAGTTACAACTAGTCAGTTAAATCTGCTGCTATAGAGTTAGCACGAAATGATTAGTTAAGTGAATGGATAAAGTGTTTTGGTTTTGATCACTTAGTTAAAATTTTCAATAATAATAAGTGTCACTGTCAAGTCCAAGAATGAAGTATATATATTTATATACATGAAGAGCCACTTCTGTATTGTATATAGATTTACATGTAAAACATTTACATTCAGAGTTCACTGTAACAACCTGTACATGGACAGTTTGTTGTCCAGCTCTTACTAGTGCTGTGTATAATACATTTGTTTATATTTGCTTATCTTGCTGTATGACTCTATGTCATCTGTGCACTGTCCGCTCTCTAATTCATTGTGTGTGTCGTGTGTTTTATATCCTTGTCTTTGTATAGTCCAGGTTCACAGGGTATTGTGGGGAACGGGTCAAAATGTGAGGGCTGCTATTCTAACTGTGGTTTGTGATCCGACTCTCCTGTAGCTTAATAGAAAAACAATAAATCATTTGATCACGAAAATAAAACTAATATAGCAGTTCTTCATGTTATTCACACATTATATAGTCCGTCTGTTTTGAGTAATCAAAATAAAAGTGATAATGAAAATGTTATTAAGGCCAGTTTGATATGCTCTTCCAAAGAAAAAGGGTAAATTGACATAAACCTATAATGTTTATATTTCAGCCAAAAGATTACCTGACTCCATCTGCGTAAACCAGAAAACATCCAGAAGACATGGCACTGGTGTGTCTCCAACCCTTCCCTCGCTCTGCACTTCGCTGCTGCTGAGCTCTGCCTGTGGGCACAACAGATTTGACACAAGAGTGCTGATGAATCTCATCAGTTTAATGTGTTTATGCTTGCTAAGCCCTAAAAGCTTATTGCTGTTCAATGGAGTGCTACAAAGTTACCTAATTTCCCCCCTGGTCGTCTCTCCACACGCAGCTTCTCTCCCTGGGTCTACACTGGCAACACAGACTCCCAACAACACGACGAACTGTGCAACCTGTGGAAGCCAGAATCCACGCTGTGTCTCAATGATTTGTGTTATCAAACAGAGAAAAGACCTTGACAGAAATACAGTGGAGAAAGATATTACTGTTTTTTCCACCTAAATGAAACCCATGACTGTCTCTCTCCTTCCACATTGATCCCTTTTTACACCCTTTTCACAGAGTAAGTGCTTTAGTCTTATCTCCGCTGCCCCCACCTCGCCTGTCTCATATTCAAACCAATGAGGCAGGCTGCCTATATGACAGCTAACACCCAGTATTAATTAAAATGTCATGCCTCCAAATCAATATTGTAAAACAGTTCAAACACAACCCCATCGCCACTGCTGTGATAAGTGCTTTTGGGTGACAGGTGAGTCCAGGGAAAGTGATGCAGGAGAATGGTATGACGGAATTATCCGGAGAGAACATGTAACATTAAAATTTATGACCCCCCTATGTGTTACTTCATCGCTCACAATTGCAAATTATCCACACTGTCACGAAGTGTGCTGCGCTAAACTGACAGATCCATAAGTCAGCAGCAACAGGCCAGGAGGCGAGAACTCTTTAGCTTTAGACGTTTCACTGCAATGCGTTAAAAGTGACTAATGTGGGAAAGAGGAGGAATTTATGAGTGCGACAAAAATAGCTTCAATCCATCTGATCGTGTTCATGATAACTCTGACAAAAAAGAATGTTGATTGGTACTAAACTACTTTAAGTGGACTTCTGTTACACAAGGTATGTGAAAAGTTTCCATGAATAAAGCCAATAAAACCGAGAACTCCTGAAATTTTTTCACAATATTCCAACTATTGTAAGTGACAAATGGGTTTGATTCAAAACTTTGGTTGAGACCGTGCGCGTTCACACACACTCAGGGAAAGATACCGTTCAAAAGGGATACGGATAGAATGTGACAAATTCTGTCAGAGTAAATATAGTTTAATAAATGAATTAGCTTCATAAATAATGGCTGTAATGACATTTTAGGGGACAATAAGCCTAAGCGTTGTCAGGAAATAGTTGATGTATGAGTTTCATGCCTCAGCGGTTCCTCAAAATGAATAGGCTTGGGAAGATAGCAGGGGCCTGCAACCAGCCTATTTCCTCGAATTATCTACTTGTTGTCAATTTGCACAGTGGAATTACACATGCAAATTGAACTGCCTGCACAAACACCACTTGGAGATGATAAAAACAAATTAACAAAGGCTATAGAAGGAGGATTTATTTCACTGGCTAACCCAGGTCAAGCAATACATGTATTTTACGATTGTGTGTACCCAATTTTGGTGTAATTATATCAGCAAATTATTCTTTGTAATCGTATTATTTTTTCCTCAACCTTCTCCTTACACACATAATTAACTTCTTTCACATCCTCACACACACAAAAAAACACAGCTTGCCTCTGTATCAGAGTGGCACAGTTCAATCTGATGTGGACGTTCGCTCTTGTCACCTTCCTGTAGCTTAAATCCCAAGGAAGGTGAGAGGTCGACAGTTTAGTGACACAGTTTAATGTACGTGTTTGGTAAAGGGGTAGACAAATCTACATAGCAGAAGTCACAATGTTAAAATATATATAATCACCTCTTAACATCATCCCTCATATTGGGGAGGAAATTAAGTGTCCCCGGACCTCCACGTTTGCTATTAGATATCTCATTTACTTTGTACACACAGTGCTAATCTGCACTAATGAATTCTGCCACACCAAGCCAGATCGAGATGACTTAAAATTATTACCACTTGCAAAGATATGCCTTTCCTCATTTGAGGCTCAATTTGGCTGGCTCGCAAAAACAGTCTGTCACAGTAAGATACTAATAATTAGGGTTTTAAGATGATTAGTTTATCTCTGTGCTCTTACAGTCCTGCCTCTTATCCACCATGGCCAAAACTTAATAAGAGGCTCTAAGTTTTAAACAGCCAACTCCAAATTACCAAGAAATGACGGAAATAATGAACTGGAGCGCATGCCAGGGAGAGAGAGGGAGAGAGGGAGAGAGAGACACAGAGAGAGAGACGGAGAGAGAGAAGGAGAGAGAGATGGAGACACAAAGAGATGGATGGTGGGAAAGCTAAGAGACATTAATTCAAGTGTGAAATAGAACACAAAGTCTGGTAATCAATAAGGAAATGATTCAGACCTGTAATGCCAAAATTGTTTAGCATTAACAGGACTTTGTGACTCTCATTTACCTTCAGACGCCGCTGTGCTCAACTTGTCACACATGTAATTAAAGTCGTGATAATGCTGAGTGAGTGATACCAGTTAATGGTTGCATATTTTTGAGGATGAGATAGAGATTTTACATGTTCCAGATGACATTCAATATAGCATAAGCCTTATCAGCCCAGTTTAATATGCAGCGCCTTTTGCAAAGCTGGACAGAGTAAATCCCTCATCCTAGGGTACAGGAAGTTCAAGGGGAGTGCAAGGTCTCCAGGTTTCATTTGTTTTACATTTATGTCACGAGATAGGGCTGGCTATTGAAAACAGAAAAAATGTGTATATCCAAAGCTGGCATCACTTGTCTGATGGACTTGTCTGATGCTGGCTCCATTCTTGACAGCTATTTTTTGAAACTTATTCATATCCAGTATCTGTAAGAAAGAAATACAACCAGCCAGAAATTGCAATATTTGGGGGTAGGACCTAGGGAAGTTTGACTCTCTTGCTGTTTCCGCACTAACAACAAGGAGGCTTATGTTGTTTAATCTAACAAACCTCCAGCACATTCCCATGGGGTAGAGAGTGTTATGGCACAGGGAGAAATATGCTACAAGAGGCAGGAAGTAGGTCTCTCTGAGTACCGCTCCCTTCTAATA